CATTTTCAGATTGTGAGATGGAGATTGCATAATGCACAAGAAACCTCCTAGTACTGTAACAGAATTAGAGTTTTGAAAGAATGCGTCTCTAAGGCAACTGAATTACCTACGTTAATAATTTCAAGTTTGCAGCCTTGATCTTTCTAACATAATAAGACTTCTAGCTGGAAGAAAGCTTCAGCACAGGCAATGACTGGATCCAATCTGTTACAGTCACACTTCAATTTCACTGAAACCAGTAAGTTTTTACAAACATTTCTAATTCGCTCCTTTGGTTTTAAGAGGAGACCAGTACGATGAACTTAGCTTACAATACTGTGCATGCTTACTTGGGAGTAAACTCCATGGAAGTTTCAGAGAGCAGCCAAGGTCAACTAAGGTCTCAAAAGGTGACAACATCTGGCTGGGTCCAAGCGTAAGCCAAACTGGGTTTATAGCATTGGATAGAAGACGAGGATTATAAACTAGGAAAAGTAATGCCCAACCGCTTCTACAATACTGCCAATGCATGGGCATATTCATAAAGTATTTGGAAGATGAATAAAGACAGTGGGAGCTACAAGCCTAGGAGCATCTATATGGGCATAAAAACAAATGCACTATATTGCAAGTGCCAGAAAGAATAACAGCATTGACAATCCGGCTAGCCTGTTGGCAGTGCTGTTCTAATTTAAAAGTTGAGCTCCCTGATTTTGATATGAAAGGAATTCACTTCATCTGAAATGAAATTGATGAAGGGAAGGGTCTTCCACAATTCGTACACACAGATTTATAATATATTATCTTACAGCTTAAGGAACCAATTGTCCCAGTTTAGTAAGCCTCCACCTTACATAGCAGATTCTGGTTGTACAAATAATATCACTTTGGAGTTTAGTGGATTGCTCAATTGTGCAAACTCAAGCAAAATAGGGTGTGTTGTGTCTATTGTACGCTGTACGTTTAATTTACTGCATATTACGTTTCTAGTTCGATACTAAACCACTTCCCAATATACTATTTTAGCCGGAATTGCAGATGGACTCAGAAATCCTATAAACCAAATATAAAAAATTTAAAAACTACCCTAACACTGTAAAAAATCCCACTTTAAATATAGGAAGATATCAACATAGTAAATACAACAAAGAACATTTCATTAATGCGACAAGCTATACACAACTACTAAAAAGCCAAAGGAAACGCAAAATAGCAAACGTTAGGAGTTTAGATCTAGATGGCCTTATTGAGGATGCCTTTTCAAGATGGAATGAGAAATCTTTACAGACTGCCTAAATCCAGACATTTTACCAACACATAGCATGTGCCAACCACAACTGACAATCTAAAGCAAATGCTTCAAATGTTTAGGAACTCTACATTATGAAGTCATTGTTCCCAACTTCTATCATCTTAGCAGTCTGGTCTATAGATTCAACGGTCACCAGAAACAACCAACGATGCTGTGGTTTATGACAGGAGTTAGATTATATGTCATCACCACCACCAACTGACCATATTTATACGATTATTGTCCCAAACTCCTTAAGATATAAGCTGCCCATCCCAATTAATCTGTTCAGAGTACATCAAACAAATTTAAACAAACTAGACATCACCAACATGACGCCTTCAAGACATCTGGGTTTTCCAAAAAACTGGTTGAGAATCAAAGCATAAAGTCCTCCCGTCTAGAAGACTGGGGAAAACTTATAGAACCTACGTTATATAAGTCAATATCCAACCACAGTTTCTCAATTGAGCTTGCTAGATACTTTCAAACGGTGATTCGTCTATCCTGAAAGCAAGAGATTGTGAATACCAGCAACGGCTCAGGCATAACTAAGGAAAGAAAGCTCCTTTTTACATAATAACATGGCAATAACAGCACCCATCCAGATGCACATCAGTCCTAGTAGTACATGTTCACTATTATTCATATTAACTATATGAAACTGTAGTTAATGTAACTACAAAATGACTGCAAAAATGACTGCCCAAAAAATCTCAATCTAATGGCAAAGGTGTAATGACCTCAAGAGGGGTTGCCCCACCTTTAAAGTGAGATTTGATGGCCCATTTTGAGGCAGGAACAGTTTCCGTATCCTACGAGGTCGGAGCATGATATTCCAGAATTGGGGATTCCAAACTCGGAACTGTTCTGCACGTTTCTAATAAATACCACTGAAGATGGACCATATTGCCATAGGAAACGGATTGGTGGGTTTTGAGAACAAGACTGCTGGGTTGAAATGATATCATTATTACTAATACTACTTTATTTATAAACAAGCATTGCTGGCAATTATTACCAATTTTGTTGATTATTTCACCAATGAGGACATCCCTGGCCCTCAGCTCATTTATTATTATTATACATTATTTATAAATGACTGCTTCTCGCAAAAATTATTAATATTTTTGGTTATTAATGCCAATGAAGACACTGCAGGGCCTCAGTTCCCAAATTAAATTTCCACTGCTGCTTTATTTATGCTGCTGTTAGTTGCTCTCATGATTAATGCCAATGAGTTTACCCTGACCTCAACTCTTATTACTGTATTACTATTGTTTTTATTTTTCCATTTCTAATGGAATTTTATTTGCTGGCAGCTGTAATCTTACTGATTAATGCCTGTCAGCACCCCTTGGAGCCTGGAGTCATGTTGCTGTTATTCCTGGCTGCTGGCCATTGATTATATTAAAGCATATCTATTATTTTATTATTACATTTCTACTACCACGACACTTGTTGGCAGTTGCAATCATAATGATTAATGTCAATGAGCTCCCACAGAACCTCAACTCATAGTATTATCATGCTACATTAAGGAATGATCGCAGCTATTATTATCATCACCCTTAAAATAATTAATACAAAGGAGGTCCTCCCTGGGCATGGACTCTTCGTCATCTTATTATTTTACTGCTCCTATATTTGCTGGAAATTCCAATTTCAACGTTTAACATGAATGAGCTCCTGCAAAACCTCAACTCGCACTGTTACCATGCCATATTTATACATGATTGTTTGGCCTTTATTGTTGTCACCCCCCTTAAAACCATATTCACGAGGACCTCCCTGGGCATGGGTTCATCATCATATTATTTCTATTATTATTATTATTATTATTATTATTCTACTGCTCCTATATTTGCTGGAAGTTCCAATTTCAACGTTTCCATGCCATATTTATACATGATTGTTTGGCCATTGTTATTGTCACCCCCCTTAAAACCATATTCATGAGGACCTCCCTAGGCATGGGTTCATCATCATATCCTTTCTATTATTATTATTATTATTATTATTATTATTATTAT